CCAACTACCACAAGCGGAGGATGCTGAACCACTCCCTGGGCCAGCATATTGGAGAAATCCTGGATCAAAGTTGGAAGGAGTGGGGGATTATCAAAAATGGATCAGGACGGTCTCTCCATATGAAATTTGTGCCTATCCAGATGGGTCCTCAGAAGGTCACGGTCGATCAGCATGGAGCTATGTGCTTCAAAGAGGAGAAATTACCTTCAAGAAGGAACGGGGGTCGCTGCACGGATGCGAAACTTTCGACGCTGAGATTGTCGGGGCAATAGGCGCGCTGCGAGCCGCTATAACTGCGAGACAAGGGAAGGAAAAGATAACCGTGCTACTCGACAACCAAGCAGCTGTTAGAGCATTGCAGACTGGAAATTTGTCCTCTACCTGCCGCTTAATTCGCATCTTTCATGATGATGTGTAATGATCCAACGCAGAAATCAGATGGGTCCCAGGACACTCGAATATTCAGGGGAACGTGGAGGCAGACAAAGAAGCTCGGGCCGCACTAGAATTACTTCCAGACAGCCAGAAACAACCCAGCTATATCAGTCTTGCTTACCTTCGACGTCTTATGCAAAAGCGACGACAAGAATTGATAGACAAATGGTGGTCAACTACTTGTCCAGCTCGATACCAAGACTTGGACCTAAAAATGCGACGACGTAAACCCCCAGAACCATCGTTGCCACGGAGATTACTACACGAACTCATTGCTGCGAGAACAGGGCATGGGGATTTTGCGGCGTATCACCGTCGCTTCAAGCACGAAGATGCAAATCTAGTTTGTAGCTAAGGGCTAGAAAAGACGCCCACCCACTTCACACGCTGTCGGAGATACAATATTCTGACGCGCAAACTTAGAAAAGACTTGAGCTTAGATGCTTTTACCAGGCGACTCCTCGGATATAAAGGGTTAGAGAAGTTTAAAAATTTTGCATGGGTTACAGGCTGCTTTGGTAGGCTGGACGCATCCTAGTTCTAGGCTGAATGCAAGGATGGGTTTTAGGATGAATGCCAGAGCAAATACGCTGGCGGAGGAGAGCTCAGGATGAGGATTGCTGACTCAAAACTATTGATTATTTCTTTTCTTTTTCTTCACTACATTATTTATTTAACGAGCGCATGATTTGTTAGCTCTAAAATGGGCGTGAACGAGTAGGGCAAGCCTAAAGGTTAAATCTCGACCGGCTCCACCAGTCCTACATCTAAATAGATTGAGGGTTACGGCCTAGGACTTAAAACTAAAATAAATAATAAAAAAAGATCTCCTTGACAGCACAATCCCGAAGGCAGTTCGAGCGGCGCTACCGGTGTGGCGAACTACGCCAAATGTGGCGCTACACAGAGAGTCGGGCATCCCCCCGTCTGCTGTTATCTTACAGCAGAGGAAAATGCTAGCGGCCGCACGGATTCAAAGGTTGGACGCATGGCATCCGTTAGTATTCAGGTCTAGAGAAGGTCCGAAGGATAAAATAAGCCGCCTCGGTCTCCGCATAGGCCAGAAAAACCGGTCATTCAAGTTCCTAGAACGGTACCTCACGCGACTTCAGATCAGCGCCAAAAGTGTGCTGATGGCCGAAGGACCCGGCAAACTATACTTCCCAAAAGCAGAGCGTATCAGAAAAATTACTAGCAGTGACTCTCAAGACGAAGCTGCATATGCTAAGCAATGGATAGCAAGCCTGTCGGCTGAGACAGTTTGCGCTTATTCAGACGGTTAATCATGTAGATCAGCTAGGTTGACATAGGGGTATACCCTATACAAAGGAGGCCAGATGATTGGGAGTGACTCTGGTCCATTGCTAGGGGCGAAGATTTACGATACCGAAATCTTTGGGGCCCAAAAAGCCCTAGAAGGAGCCATAGGAAAAGCAGGCAATTGCCCGATGAAAGTGCTGCTCGACAACATCACAGCCGTGAGAGCTCTGAGAATTGGACAACCAAAATCTTCCCAGGAAGCAGTGGAAGTATTTACGAGACTGGCACGACAAGCTAGATCAGTTGAGATCCGATGGATACCAGCCCATGCTGGGATCATGGGGAATGAAGATATAGACAGACTAGCTAAAGAAGCTCTCAGGAACTTACCGGATGAAACGGATACATCTCCCTCCGAAATGAGGGATAGACCTAAATACACTTTCGCAGCCCTCACTCGGCTTGTCAGACAAAGATGTGAAGAAGCAGTGGAATCCTGGTGGCCAGATCCCAGACCGAGCCGCTACGAAGAATTAGATCTCCAGATGAAACGAAAACGTCCACGGGAGCTAGCACTGCCGAGGTGGGCGCATCTGTGACGGGCTAGGACTTTCGGCCAATGCACGAAAGCAATGCCACAATTAAATGTTTATATTTTCTATGAGTAAATTACGACCGGGAAGCTATGGCTCTTTATAACTACAATGCCTGTTCCAGATACCCTTGCCCTTTACACGTGATCCGATAATACTCCCGTATAGTGAGAAGATTTACAAACTCGCTTGAGCCTTCAATATAAGGATGGGCCCTATAGCCTTAAACAGCCCAGCCAGAACCCAGCTGGGCCTAGCCCGTAACAGCATCACCGCCTTATTGCAGCAAGGACGGGACATGGCGATTTCAGAAAATACCATGAAAGATTTGGCCACGAATTTGAAAACTGCGAATGCGTGTGTGGAAGGGAGAAACGCCCTTGGCATTTTGCCAAATGCCGAATTTCTCTACAGCAATGGAGAAACTTGAAGCATGAACCACCACCGAGAGGACGGGAGATACTGGCAGAAAAGGGTTGGGAAAGAATTCTCCAGTTCTTAACAGTAACTAAGTGTTACGAGAGGCAAACACTACACCGGGTGGATTAAGTCCCGCCGAAAAAGAAGTTTTTCAAGACAAAGAGTTGTGAGGAAGAAGGAAAGGCGCAGGGCGCTTAATTTTCTTGTAATTAATTTCATTATTTATGATTTGCGTATAGATTTGACAAGTAAACGATGTATTTAGATCGTAGTGTTTCTCCAAGGAGCATAGACCCGTATTACGCCTATTGGGTGTAGGGTGTAAGCCTGATACGAAATGAATTCAAATCAAATCAAACTACGATAAGGACATCGCTTTAATTGCAAATGTGTCTCATTCATTACCTACCATCCCTCATGTCACGGATCCTAAGCCCGACAAGCTACCGCTTTTAAAATATATTTCTATCACAAACTCTTCTCAAACGCACCATAGAACGAATCTAGTATTTTCCTTATATTAGATAATCACAATAGATTTTGATTACTTCGATCGATCAATCGTTCATATCATGACCTTAATGCGTAACACATCACTACAAATCTACGTTGCTAATGTACGACCGCAAGTGAGAAACCAAGTCATAGTATTCAAAGCTCGGGCCTTGACTTATAGGTCACCTTTGCTCTATTATGGCTCTACAATTTGACGCAGGACCTGGCATAGAAATATTCTTCACCTTTAAGTGGTGCCGGTGTAATCGCTCAGTATCCTCTGCATATCTGGGATAGCCAAGAAGGATCAAATCCGGGTCGAAGTCGAAAGCAAACACTAGTAAATCTAAAATTGACGACTTCTCAATCATGCAGCACTCACCATTATTTTCTTGGTCCTCACCCTCTCTCTAACCACATATCATCTCGCGTCAACGACCAATAAAGAAGTTGCTCCAATTGCAAACAGGAGATTGCCCCATTAATTTCCAGCCATTTCTCTCCACATATTTACGAGGCTATCTATACCGGCAAGGAGTAAATCAAGTCGAAAAATACAAAGCCTGGATCTCGGCTTCTGGGGGATTGTTGCTTTAATGGCACAAACAACTGGAGGGAAAACAGGCGGCTGGGGTGTGGGGCAGGAGGGGTAACAGGTCTCTGAAGAGCATGCTGGGACTGACATTTCGGCACGAGCTTCGGGAATGTGTTGGAAGGAGGCCGGAAATGCAGAGAGTGGATTTCATGAAATGCCCAAAAGTCTGAAGCGCCCAGCTGATCGGCCTCTTCGAACGCTTCAGAAGGGTAGCCATATCTTTGGATTAAGTCCTGATATCGGTACAAGGAGAGCTGCGCACCAAATGGTTTTAACGATTTTTCCCGGCTGCCATACATCTCCAAATGGCCATCGTTACGTTAGCTGGAGGGGGAAAATAGTGGAGGGCAAAGAGCTCCTCTAAGTGTATGATTGAATGAAGACTTTTGAGGGGTGATATTGTTTGAGGGAAGCTGTATGTAAGGCACAGGAGGGGATATACTACTGGCTTAGTTATCCTTGGCCCGTAGGCAGAGATGCTTTGCATGTCCTACTTATTCATAGACTCAAGTGGTACGATAAAAACACAAACACAATTCACTCTCGCTAGCGAAGTCTTGGCGCTCACAAAGCTCAATTCGTAAAACTCCTTGCCAAAATTCAGAATCTCACGCCCATAGAGGTTATATCCTTCTTTCGCATCATCTTGTGAACTTGTCCTGATCCCTCTCATGTCCATCTCAAAGAATTGTCTCCCAGATTTGTGCGCCACGTTTTTTTTCCTCCGTTGGATATAACTATCGGCAGGGGCGTGTATTTAGCAACCAGCTAAGGCAGGAGAAAGTCGATGAGAGGTGTGATCATTGGAATGAGTATGTGCTAGGTTTTACTTGTAGACGTGATGACACTTGGGTAGGAGTCAAACTTGTTGGGAGCGAAAAAACGATGTGGTGGGGGTAATTTGAATCATTGCTTCGTGGGCCAACTTCTTTGATATTGCGAAATTTGACTGTACCCAGCTCTGGGAGTATATCTCACTCCCAGGTTCGTAGAGGGCACCGCGTACAGGTGTCCAGTCTTGTCCTCCACTTTGGACTCAGATGGCCAATCAGATAGGTTGAATTTCACCCATACTCGACCATACGTTAGGATCAAGTCACGTGTAATTGGAATAAACCCAAGCGAGTCAATGCCCACAAAGTAAATTGCGCCTTCCATTCGAAATCTAACCCCAAAGATATCAACGTATCACATCTACCACTATGCGTATGTTAAACGGTATTCTTCTCGAAGCTCATCTGCTAACAAAATCATAAAAGCTCCAAAGATCGATCCTAACGAAATTAAGGTGATGTGAGTTGTATCTACATCCGGTAGCAAGATTAATATCTCTGTGTATTAAAATATTATGTATGAAATGACTGCTAACTGACTTCATCAGCCACTTGAGAGCTACTGGTGGTGAGATTGGTGCTTCTTCAGCCCTTGCTCCAAAGATTGGTCCCTTAGGACTTTCCCCTAAAAAAGTTGGTGAGGATATTGCAAAAGCTACTGGAGACTGGGTAAAAACTTTCGTTAAACAACAGCTATGGAAATCTGACAAAATTGTAGAAGGGTCTACGTGTCACAGTAAGATTGACAATCCAAAACAGACAAGCGGCGGTCTCTGTTGTCCCATCAGCTTCATCACTGGTCATTAAAGCATTAAAAGAGCCACCGCGGGACAGGAAAAAAGTAAAGAATATTAAGCACTCAAATTCGATAACTCTTGATGAAGTGATTGACATCGCCCGAACTATGAGATTCAAGTCGCTCTCAAAAGAACTTAAAGGAGGTGTTAAAGAAATTTTGGGCACTGCATTCAGTGTAGGGTGCCAGGTCGATGGAAGAAGTCCGAAAGATATCAGTGATGATATCGACAGTGGAGAGATAGAAAGTAAGCTGTTCTCAACAAAAAGTATAGATTTTTCACTAATCGAAACAGTCCCGGATGAATGAAGAATTCATATCTCTTATGTCGCAGTTCTCTAGGACAAAAAATATAGGAAATTAATTTCAAGTAAATAAATTAATTCAACTCATCATGTAACAGCTAGAGGATACCAAATTCACCAAGGCGAATATTTAAAGATTGCCACTAACTACACCTTCACATTCACATGCCACAATAAATTCTTGATGCTATGGTTGCAAAAATGAAAATGTCTAAGTTTGAAGATATGTGAGGCACAATGCAAGATCCGAATGCGGTGAATAGTTAGTATCACTTACGAATATCTTTTCGATCGTTTAAACCTACTGAAAGACTGAAATTTAAAAATACAGGACATTGTTCAGAAACTTCCCTTATGCTTACATCACTCGTGGGACTTTGAATCTGATTTCATCATCCTTATTTGGCGCCCTATGGGCCCATTCAGGTGTCTACAATCTGTAACATTTACACGGGAGGAAACCTTTATGGTGAAAACTCCCACCCCTTTTTGCCTGTTGTCTTAAATTTTCATACATTTTCTTCAGGAAGCGCAGTTAAACTGCATTGCCATCCATGAAAACCAACCACGTCGTCTCTAACCGCCCCGAGCATTACTTGACCTGTACCTTTCCCTCAGCAGCATTTCTACCGCCTTTGTCATCTAGAATTGCTCAATCCAACCATGATTTAGGATCCACTATGTTATCCTTTTGATGTCTCCAGGATTTTCTATTATTGCTTTGTAGGACCGATCTTTGGCCTGTCTCCAGATCTCAGCTCTGCCATTTGGCCATCGAGGGCAGGACATAATCACATGCTCAGGGTTCTGTAATTGGTAGCTACATAGACAACCTGGACTTAAAACCCCCGGTACGTTTCTTGTGTGTAAATACGAGTTAAGACCTATGTGCTCACTTCGTATTTGCATTGCCAAACTGCTTTGGGCCCTTTTCAAGCTACGGAGTAGGAAGAATGGTGAGCCTTGAAAACTCAGTTTTTGCCGTCCAGACTCTCTGCTTTGGTAAAATTTCGCTGCTCTCAAAATTTCGGGATCTGCAGTTGCTAGCTTCCGAGTTCGTTTCTGCTTGGGTTCGTGGGACTTTGAATTGTGACATTTGATACAATATAACTCTTAATATGTACAGGCAGCGTCAAAATGAACTTCAAAGATACCCCCTTAAGAATCCACCGTAACCTAACCAGGGCCCAAAGCAGTGTCGCCATTCAGCTGAGGAGCGAGCATATCGGACTCAATTCTTACCTGAGCAGAAGAAAAGTAGCCGGAGTAGAAAAGCCAAGCTGCCAATGTGGATATCCGTCGCAAAACGTCAAGCAAATAGTGTTGGTGTGTCCGCAGTGGGCAAATGGAAGAGGCGACTTTCTCCGACAAGCTAAAGACAGGTCATTTGAAGCAATGATGAACAGCACAGAAGACATGGCCAGAATTACACAGTAGATACCAAACAAAGGGTGGACAAAACAGTTTCGACTGGCAGGAGAAGTCGAGGTAGCAATGTCGGATAAAGTAAATAGATCCGGAAGAGGAGAGGACGGAATCCACACGGGCTGAACAGTGTACACTGCAATTCCTGAAGATAAACCAAATAAATTGATAGGAACATAAATAGACAGGATTAGGGGGTTTTCACCAAATTGGTTTCCTCCTTTGTAAATAATGCAGATAGTTACCTGCATGGACCCATAAGGTGCCTTATTGGGTTAATTGAAATCAAATTCAAATTCAACTCTTAATATGTGAAAAAGTTCCGCGACTATTATAATGTCCACGGAAAGATAAAAATACATCGAACTATACGTATTACTCCTGCTATAAAATTCTGTAATAGAATCTGCCCAGTAAATTATAACCAAATATTGCACTGTAGGAGAAATCATTGATACCTTTTCTCGTCTGATTTGATAGATTGAAATCCCCACGCATCAGCTCCACAATCAAAATGTACTAGATAGGTAGTTGTCCCAAAATGCCCAGTACTACCAGTCAAATCTAATTTAGGACGTACCAGGAAATAGGAGCAGACTGGCGCACTCTCAAAGTCCAAAACCCTGTGCCTATCCAACGCCCACCAACATTATCTATCAAAGGATGAATACTTAAGAGATTCTCCTAGTATCTTTTACGAGCATGGGAGTCGTATGACGCAACAGAGAAAAAAGTTGCATACGAGGCAATGATTCATGATTCTCTGCCACAACTATCTCCCGCTTCCAACGTGATTTATTCTCACCTAAGCCTCATCAATCCTATAGATAACTTCTGGCATATCCTTATTTCAATGACCAAACATCTTGTCAAATGAGTATCTGGCTTCAGTTTGCCTTCAAGTACACACCTACGAGGATATGAATACCCACACCAGGCCAAAAATCGTGATGCACAAATCAAAGAGGTAGATTTTGTATAAAGATGAGAGAAGTGTCAGGAAAGATTGAAGATATAACGCGAAGGATGGATAGGGTATTTCAAAATGTGAGAATCGAGTCCTGGCTAAGAGCTTTAGAAATTGAGCAGCATTGTCCACGTCAAGCCCTCGTTTGCAAGACTACTGGCAAAACCAAAGACACCGCCATAGCTGGATGGTGCATTGATACATTATCTGGGCCTGTCTCTCATGTACATTCTGGATAGCTTAGACACAAATCGTTTGAGAGACAGGAGATGGATAGGTTTAACCTAGCAAGACAACATGATATTTGTCGGTATTCACGGATACAAGGATAATGATTAAAGCACGCCTTGATAATCAACGTTCTGGAACTTTCTAGCCAGGTATTCATGGAGGAGAGTCAACAGTTAAATGTAAGCAAGTATACGTCGTAGTGGTATCTACGAATGAAATCTAGAGTGTGAGTGTCTATGACGCCAAAAGAGGCATCCATCACGTACAATTAAAACTGATCATGCGTCATAACTTTGAAGAATTTTTCTTTCCACCAAATTTTTAACCGCCTAAATAATTATGTAGCTGACACAATATCAGAGATATAGCACAATGTAAAAGACTCTTTATAAAATTCAGAGCACCTGCGTCTGATAATTCATCTGCAAGGACCACTGGTAAGTTATAGCGGCTTTTTCTTCGCCGCAAAACAGCCCTTATCCGTGAATATCCACCCAGGGAAAATTCTCAGAAACCCCAAATCTATCCAGACATCCCTCTATCACCCACTGACTAGTCTCCGCGCAAGATACAAGCCAGACTTCTTCATACCAAGTGAAATAGGTGCCTTGGCTAATCTGAGTAAACTGGGGATCCCCATTAGTAGGCAGACTACGGCATTTTCCATAGGTGACGAGTTTTTATAGTCAACTGCACCCTCAAATTCACAGGGTTGACGCGCACGATCTATAATTTGAAAACTCCTTGCCAAAATTCGAAATTTCATACCCGTCGAGATTGTGTCCATGCTCTGGGTTATCTTGTAAACTTGTCCTGATCCCTCTCATTTCCATTCCAAATAACTTCCTCCCAGATTTGTGCGCCACACTTTTTATCTTCCTGTGTGTATTCGTATTGTCGTGAGCTTATATTTAATGAACGACTGGGCCTGAGAATAGTCGATATGAGGTGTGGTCATTGAAAGATGGATATAATAGGTCGTACCTGTAGACTAGACGAGGCTTAGGTAGGAGTCGATCTCGTTGGGGGTGACATATTGATTCGGTTAATAGTATTGAATCTTTGCCCCGTGGGCCAACTTGTACGTTATTGCGAAATTTGACTAAACTTGGCTTTGGGAGAATATGTCACTCCCAGGTTCGTAGAGGATACCGCGGACAGGTATTCAGCACTAGTTCACCTGTAGCATTCTTAGACGGTGAGGAGAGTGCAGAAAAATGCATGTCGATTTGAAATCCATATTTTATCTATTACAATTCTAGTATTCTTGAATCACTTTTCGGATGGTATTGTATTCTGTTATTCAGCCTGAAAGAAACTCGATGTTATAGTTATGTACAAAAAAATGGCGAAAAAGAAAGTACCTTATTCTTGGAGGCCACAAGTACACAATTCGAAAAACCTCGAAAATTGCCAGTTACAGCAAGCTCATAGTAGAAATCTTAAGACTTTCGTTCCACGTCCCAGCTACATGTAATCCCTTGTGTTTTATACGCCAATTGGAGTTGGTGCTCTCACAAGCCAAACTCTGAACTTTTTACATTACGAATTTTTGTCTTCCTTGCTGGCATGATTTGAGTCGTAATTTCATCGTAGAAAAAAGCCGTTAATTGACGAGGTGAGCTTTAGTTTTACATGTGAGCCATCTCTCGATCGGCTGTTGAAATGAGCTGATCTGTAGTAAGATTTAATTGGAGAACTCATGCGAGAAAGCCAGGATTTATATTGCCAAGTCATTGATTGTGTTTGCTCTGGTCTTTGATTTTAATACGGCTGTTTTTGGCTATCTCAAATGAGAAGAATTAATTGTGTCATGACACCGGCACTCCTAGATGGTGAATAAATCATCTTTGCTGGCGGTACTCCTTGTTTACCGCCAACCATAGGCACTGAAGGCCTAAATATGAATGCCAAGTCTTCCCACTTCTATTATTCGCTGACATGAATTTAGCAATAAATGAATAATCCAATCGAAATTATTGTTGCAGCTGATACATCTACATTTCTTTTTGGATAACTTATTAGCTATTAGCTAGAAATCATGTGAATAAAAATGGCCTTTGTAAGCTACGTTTTGAATTGATAACTATTAAAATTTGAACTCTTGTGGAATGTGTGGAGAATAAGCTGGACCATTGAAATGAATAGTTTTTCTCTACTTTAACGTCCCATGCGATTTTTACATGAAGAACCCTCAAGTCGGTAAGCCATGGTAAGTAGAGAAAAAGCTTTCAAGCAACAAACCCCGTAGTTCCGAGGCTGGACCATTGCACACAAGAAAATTTAGTTGACTCAAATTCCTACTTTGTCCTTGTATGAAAAGCATGAATTGATATGCCAAACTCATACGAATCACGCACAACCCATGTACGGCAAACCACATACCTAGACGAATACCTATACAGTTGCTGTAGGCCTTAACTAGTTCTGTAGTAATCTAACCCCCGCCTTCACGAACATGCCCCGAGCTTTTAAATAACATTTAGTGCAAACACAATCCCTTTTGTTAACCATCCCGGCAAGAAATCTTCAAGAACTCCACCGTTTCGGGACATATATATCGATAAGTTTTTCGATCAGGACTTTACCATTTGTGTATCTCGATATGAAAAGAAGGGGGCTCGTCTCAATCATTCGAGCTGGTATTGGTACTTCCATGAACCTATGAATCGGCGACAGCTCCCTTTGATGTTGTCTTCACGCCATCGATTCGAGTCCCTCACAGGTTAATCGACGGACTTATTCCAACATGACTTCTCAGACTGCACAATACTTTTCGCATGTACCTCACCAAGCCAGTGAATTAAGGTTCAAAACTCCTTCACTTGTGCCAGTAGTTATAAACGAACCCCAAAATCATACATCCACTACCTGCCATCCTGGATATCCGGATCAGAAATATGACCCAACAAATAATGGCTACCCGAATAACTCGAGCAAATTTTGGGCCGGTCACAAGGGTGATCCATCCGAGCACATATTGCGAGGAAAGACACCAAATGGTATTGTAGCCGCAGGCTACGAAGGAGCAACTACCCGATCATCTAACAGAAGACAATTCTTAAAGCACCAATCAAGCTCAATTCTCGGCGACTCTCAAGGATTTCAAACGAAGACCTCAGTACAAATTTTCAGGGACAGACAAGAATATCAAAATGAGCTGTCTACATTCGATCAAAGAAGTAGTAGGGCTCAATCTCAAAGTCTTGGCGAGAATGGCTCTGCCCCAGATAAACCAAGTTGTATGTCATTATTAGGGAGTACTTATCACGAATTTCAGAACAAAATGCAAACTGAAAAACTCAGCGACACTCATTTTGTTAATGATATTCGAGCTCCAACATCGTCTCCAAACAACGACCAGATAATATCATATCCCATCTCCTTGACTGGTTCAAAAGACGTTTCGAACTGGTCTAACGAGCTAGGTGATAATGTATCTATCAGTTGTCGCTACACAACATCTGAATCTTTAAATAAATTATTTAAAGAATTTGGACCCATGAAACACCTACAAATGGGTACGATTACCCCACAAAGAAAACTTCACAAAGCAGAGGCAAGGGCTCGTACTGACAAATTTACCCGATTTTCAACACAAGAGATTATTGCGAACCAAAACTATAGTCATAATACAAGTTTTTCGAAGAATGAAAGAAATATAGAATTATCCATTAATCTTCACGCGCCTGTAAACAGTTGGAGCTCAACATCTGATGAGTTTCATAACAACACAACAGGCCCTCATGCCAAAGCAGGCAATTTTTCATCATTGAAGGAAAAAACACTTTCATGGGCTCATCTCATCTACGTCGAGCTTGTAACATTTCTTGGTCTAGAAAATGAAAAGAACCGTATAAATCAACCTCGTAATAATCAATCGTTTGCTAAAGGTAGCAATTCGCAAAATCTGAATATTGATCAATCTTCAGATATTTTACCACTTCAAGGATATGGTTCTTTTTCACAAAGATTTAACCTAAGTAGAAGCCTTGAAACTCAAACTGATATTCATACCGAGGCTAATCTCAGCTCATTCGCTCCTCACTGTCTGGAAAAAATATACCTTCAAAATGAAGTTCACCCGGAGGTTTATTATGGAAAACTACATCAAGTTAGTCCACATCAAGCACTAACACCCAATCAAGAAGTTTCCTGGCTGAATTCTTCTCCCATAGATAGGGCAAGGGAGGCACAATCTATACTAATTAATATTTGCCGCCAAACAGACTGGCAATGGGTTGATGGAATGCTTCTTTGTGGCTGTCTTGCTCATGTTTTAGGGGAGTATCATCAAGCTTTAGAATGGTTTACTAGGATCCTTGAACAGAAACCCAAGTGAGTTTACCTAATATCAATAATAACCAGAGCCTTTTGTAACTCTATATCAGTAGTTTTGAAACAATTTCAAACCTTGCTGCTACTCTCACGTGTTTAGGTAGGATTGAAGAAGCCGAAAGATATTGGCTTCAATCAATCAAACTTCGTCCCGACCAATTTGATGCAGTCGAGCAGTTTATTGGGCTACTTTTTCATGAAAATCGAGGAAGAGAAGCATTGGAGGTTATAAATTATGTCGAATCTTCACTTGGGCTCTCAGGATCATCAGATTATAATATATATACCAATGTGATGCCGAGATATAATTATCCTGAAAACTACGAAACTCATCAAACGCCAGTAGAATCAACTACTTTTACCGATAATACGGGGACTAAAAAAGCATACATCACGGCTACTATAGAAGAGAAAAATAAAGCCTGCTCTGGCTTTAGCTCTAGTGGGTTTTCTATTCGTGGATCCGAGAATGGTCGAATCCTCGCCCTTTTTCATGCAAAAGGAAACTTATTATACTCCTTGGGAGATTTAGGAGGAGCGGTAAAGGCTTTTGAGAAAGCAGTATTGATTAGCGCTGGCGACTATTTCACTAGCATAAAAAAGCTGATAAACAAAGTTATCGAGACCTTCATCATGGATGAAACAAATTCACTTCGGTCTAATATAGGCTCAAAATTATCTGCTTCTAAAACCACTCTACTTCTTTTATCTCCACGAAAAGCTTTGCAGACTGCTCAGATATTATTTTCAGAGAGTAGTGATTTACCAGGTCTTCTTCACTTGCCTGAAGGCCCTAGCAAAAGAGCGGCAATTTTGACCACTAGTAATTCTTTACTTTCTCTTGCAAAAATATTCCAGGACTCTTTGACGACTAATGATCTTAGCCAAAAACTTTCAGGTATTCCAACTGAAATTGGAGATATTTTAGCTCTATATTACCTGTCCTTATCTTTACAACCTAGTCCTTCGACAGCCAACAACGTTGGTATTCTTCTAGCTGGTATACAGCAAGCTCCTTCGCAACAATCTATCACATTACGAGAAGAGAGTATGGAATATCTTAGTATTCCAGGTGTATCCTGTGGAAGTAGCATCGCCCTAGCTGTTGCTTACTACAACTATGGTCTAGATCTTGATCCTGGCTATGCCCATATTTACACAAATCTGGGAAGTCTACTCAAAGATGTTGGTCAGTTAACTGCTGCCATCACTATGTACGAAAAAGCAGTTGCATGTGACAGCTCTTTTGATATTGCTCTTGCTAATCTCGCCAATGCTGTTAAAGATCAAGGTCGAACGAGCGAAGCAATTAAATACTATAGAAGAGCTATTGCATCTAGTCCAAATTTTGCCGAGGCTGTTTGTGGACTTACTAATGCCCTCAACTCTGTGTGCGACTGGGTTGGTAGAGGTGGCGTGAGTTTCGAGATTGGAAAACAAGATAGATGGCACGTTGATGAGACAGGCATGATAATAGACGGAAAAACAAACCCTGGTGGCAGTGGATTGATGAAACGCGTAACAGATATTGTTCTAAAGCAACTTAAAGACGGTTCTTATTGGGGCTGTGGGTCTCTTCGGGATCAGAGTTTTTTTCATTTTCTTCGCAACTTAGAAGCTGCAGACTCTATTGAAACCTGGGCAGCTGAGAAGAAGATGAGTATGCAAGTAGCGTTGAATTCCTGGTCGGGCAGGCTATGGGAAGGTGCTCGTATTATTCGGCTGGTCGAGCGCGCCATTAAAAGAGCAATGCATCGATGGTATATTGATAAATATATTAAAAAAAAACTTCTGCCCCCATCTTACTATCCAAGACCTCAGATTCCTAGTTCTTTGGTTGTACCAACAGCCCCAACTGTACTTCCATTTCATACTTTTACTTATCCTTTATCGCCAAAACAAATAAGAATGATATCGCAGCGAAATGCATTACGTATCTCTTGTTCAACTTTAAAAAATTCATGGATGCAGGGTCCTATTTTTCCACCCCCCCAACCTCCTGCCTCACATCTTAACATTGGTTATGTATCTTCAGATTTCAATAATCATCCACTGGCTCATCTGTGAGTGAACGGTCAGTATTTTATTAGCCTTTTTTGACTTATATTACAGGATGCAATCAGTTTTTGGTATGCATAACACATCAAGGGTAAAGGCGTTTTGTTATGCAACCACTTCTAGTGATAACTCAATACATCGACAGCAGATTGAGCGTGAGGCACCTGTATTTTATGATGCTAACTCTTGGTCAGCCGATCAGATAGTAGAGCAGATTATCCAAGATGATATTCATATATTAGTTAATCTCAATGGATACACGAGAGGTGCAAGGAATGAAATTTTCGCTGCGCGACCTGCTCCGATACAAATGTCATTCATGGGATTTGCGGGGACCCTAGGGGCTGAATGGTGTGATTATCTTTTGGCTGACGAAATCGCCATTCCACCTGATACTCTCAGACCCTGGAGAAGAAATTTAGATTTCGAAGATCAGATACTTGATGAACAATATCGTGAGGATGAGAACTGGGTTTACTCTGAAAACATTATTTTTTGTCGGGACACTTTTTTTTGCTGTGACCATGCTCAGTCACAGAAGCAGGACAGACTAGTATCATGGGATGAGTTGCAGTCTAAAAGATGGAGAATGCGAAAAGAATTGTTCCCAAATCTCTCAGATGATACTGTGATTCTGGGCAACTTTAATCAACTTTACAAGGTCTGTCGTGGCTCGAAGTCTTGATCATTACTGATAAATACAGATTGAGCCCACCACGTTTCGAACCTGGCTGAGAATCCTTGACAAAGTCCCTAAAGCCATTTTATGGCTCCTTCGTTTCCCGGAACTAGGCGAGCGCAACCTCAAGAAAACTGCTCTAGATTGGGCTGGAGAGGGTGTAGCTCGTAGAATATGGTTTACTAATGTAGCCACTAAGGACCAGCACATTTCAAGAGCTTGTGTATGTGACCTTTTCTTAGATACGCCGGAGTGTAATGCCCATACCACAGCTGCAGATGTTTTATGGTCAAGTACACCTATTTTAACATTTTCACGCTACAAGTATAAGATGTGCTCTAGAATTGCAGCGTCAATATTAAAGAGTGCTCTCCCAAGATCTGAAGAAGGTAAAAGGGCGTTGCATGAACTTATAGCGACTGATGATGTTCAGTATGAAAATTATGCAATTCATCTCGCTACCGAGCTAAGATACAAAGCTGGATTACGAGGCTATTCGGAAGGAGTCGGTCGACTTATCGAGCTACGTAAACTTCTGTACGATAACCGATGGACTTGTGCTCTCTTTGACACTAAAAGATGGGTATCTGATTTAGAATGTGCATACGAAGAAGCATGGCGTAGATGGGTCGCCGACGAGGGGGGTGATATTTACCTTTGATAATTCTTGAACAAAATCAGCATGGAAAATAGGCTGATACGCAATGGGAATTTTATACATATAAGTCCTCACTCGAGCATACGCAAGATTTGTAGGGCTATTGTCTTGGAATGCATATATTATTTTGTTTTGTAAGTTGATTAAAGCTAGACCAAAAATTGCTGAAAATCCACAAGCGTATAATTTAGGATAAAAAATTACAACATATATAATCTGCCAATCTTTCCATATTTGGGTCTATCCTACTTTCATACCCAAAGCTAGGTAACGCTCACTGGTTAACCAGATGCATGGGTATCTAAGTCATTAATCACGGCACCTTTGTAGCAAATCTATAATTATGTGAGATATTTAGCTCCATCATAGTTCTTAAGAAAGATACGTGGGACACGGTATTACGTTGTAGATGTTGACTAAAGAGCCCTATATTTGATTTTGATTGAATTTAACGTCATGCCTATCTACAGCTCGTGAATACTGTCACGTACTGGACGGCCCAGTCCCTACAGAACCACCTGACGCTCTAGCGCGCACTACAACACCTAGAAATTACAAAAGAGTCCGACCAGCTGTCCGCCATCAACCTGATCCGGCCCGACCCCACTCGTGCTCAAGCTCCAGTAGGAGTGCGACGGTAGTTACTTCATCTAGCCCGTCAATGAACAAACAAACAAACAGCTGCCCGCCACTCTGCTTTCCAATTTAAATGTAGCAAATTCCCTTCTACCAGGAACTTCACTTTTTTTTTAACAAGTAATTTTGAATTATACCTGCAGAACAAGAAAATAAGAATAAATCCTTCCATCTAATATTAACCCCATACCAGATCGTAAGGGAATATCTAATGGGCTCTTTGGATTTCGTTGTAGAACTTTGTGAGCTCGACCCATTTTCCCAAGGCAGGGGCGCCCTCGGGCGTGCCGAATACCCATCTGATGCCAGGGTGGGGATGTCGAGGTCCACCGCAAAGACGGGCACAGTTTCTTCCTATACTGCAGTAGAAGAAGTGATCTGGGCTTTTTTCCTCGCCACAGGAGCAAGTCATTAGGGCATCTTCGTGTGCGAAGCGACGATGATATTGGGCGAAATCTCCGTGCCCGGAACGAGCCGCAATTAGCGCCCCAAGTGCACGTCGGTTTAAACCTTTCAGTTCTGGCGTTATTCCTATACTAGGATCAATTCCGAATCCATGTATCTAGTGGGGCCTTCCTGAACCCAGTAGGCGGTGGTGGAAGCGTTGTACAATAGAGAAATTTCTCTCTTTGCTCGTGCTATGGATAGAGGTAAGAGTGGCGCAGTCATTAGACAAGCCGACTTCGCTAGAACATCAGCTGCTTCATTTCCAGGGATTCCAGAATGTCCGGGGCACCATCTAATACTGACTGCTCCTGCTCTAGTACAGGATGCGCGTGTCCTGTTTGTCCAACAAGCTGCTAGCTGCCGAAATTTTGCAATGTGGCAAGAGCTTGTTGCAGTTGGTGTTAACAAGAGGAGTCGAAGAGCCGCTTCTTGGTTATCTAGGCAGATAGTTACGTTGGTTGCGTAAAAGGCCATGGGATTATGGAGGGCAGCTGCTAGACCCTCTGTTGCTCCAGATATTTCTGCGTCGTATACTTCTGCAGAAGCACCTAGAGGAATGGTTCCGCAGGCAATCTCATGGGCTGCGCCGCGTCGAATTGAGTATGCGGCTCCTGCTTGATTCTCGATCATAGCGCCGTCGGAGAAAACAGAGAGGTCCATCATGGATTGTTGAGCGTACCATTCATTGAAGGAATTGACTCCCGCTGTTCGGCCAACGGCGCCTATCTTTTCCAAACATTCATCGCGTCCAACTTCCCAAGGTGGAGGGATGTTATCTTCTGAGAGCTCGTGAGAAATCCTTTCTCGGATCCCACGCATTCTTGAAGAATTCCACCTAAGGAGCCCTATATTTATTTATTTATAATATTAATGTCGTGCCCGCGCACAGCACGTGAGTTCCTCACGTACCGGTTAGCCCAGTTAAAGTTAAACTACCCGACGTGTTGGCGCCCTCACAGACCCACCAAAGCAAACAATAGCTAGGATTTTATCATCCTACGCTCGAAGATTACAGTGTACATGAAGGTCGTCCGTCCAACGAATCTCATGCTATGCCGTTGGTACTAAATCAAGAAAAGATTTTACAAAACAGAATAAAAAATAAAAGGAGAAGATTGTTTACATCAGATCGTGATTTCGTTCGAATAAGACTGTTCGTTGTGCCCTTTCGAAGAAATCTGTGACACGCACCCAATTATTGAATGCATCAACTCCTTCCGCCGAAGAAAGTGCCCAGGATATACTGGGATTAGAGTTCTGTGCCCTGTGGAGCTGAGCTTGGTATTGCCCGAGGTGGCAATAGAAAAAGTGGTTAGGGGACTTTTCTTCTCCGCAAGTGCAGGTTAGAGTGGCGTTTTCATGCTGAAACCGTCTAAAGAGCTCTATATGTTTGTTTGTTTATTATTTTACGTCGTGCCAGCGCGCAACACGTTTCCCAAGGCCACATGCCGGTTAGCTCAGTCTAGAAAAACTACCCGACGTGCCGACGCTCCTAAGATCCCGGCATAAACTACCTAGGCCCTAGCCCTCCTGCCAGTTGCCCCTAACTAAAAATACACCAAAAGCACCCTTCCTCTGGGTCTTTTGTTAACTATACTGCAGACAGAACTAAAATGTAAATCTACATGCTAGAGAGGAGAAATAATCTACCACCGGTACAGACAGAGCTACTAGTGCGTGTATGAGTCCCACTAAATAGTTAGTATGGAGCGAGTGTAAAAGCTAGGAGTGAAAATTGGTCTCTTCAAAAAACTTAGTCTTGTGGACCCACTTGCTGAAGGCGATAGCCCCTTCTGGAGAGCTTAGAGCCCAGAGGATTCCAGGGTTGGGATGTCGAGGTCCACCTTGCAGTCGTGCTCGGCTGAGCCCTAGTCGACAAAAGAAGAAGTGGTCAGGTGACTTTTCTCGTCCGCAACTGCAGGTCAAGAGAGCTTCGAGGTGTTGGAAACGGCGGTAGTAGTCTACAAAGTCCCCATGCCCTGACCGTGCAGCAAGAAGCAGGCCCAGTGTTCGCCGGTCGAGACTCCTAAGTTCCAGTGAGTCTCCAACATTTTCTCTAATTCCAAGTTGTTTGTATCTTTCGGGGGCGTTTTGCGTCCAATATCTGGTCGCTGAGTCTTGGTATCTAACTTCGATATCTCTCTTTGCTCTAGAGATTGACGGTGCAAGTGAGGAAGCTGGGAGTGTGCAGGCCTGTTTGGCGAGAACGTCTGCAGCTTCGTTTCCCAAAATACCAACGTGTGCAGGTCACCATTTAATGATGACTGAGCCGACATCTGTGAAGTGGCAACGGTCTCTTCTAGTCCATGCTATCGCAAGCCCTCTAAACTGAGTGATACGAGGAGAACTAGAGGGGGTGGGGTTGCATACAAGAAGCCGAAGGGCAGCCTCCTGGATGTCTAGGCACACAAACACCTTATTGGCGTATCGGACCATGGGGTTACGGAGGGCTGCGGCGAGTCCTTCGGTTGCTCCGACAATTTCGGCGTCATAAACCTCAGCAGAGTTCCCGAGGGGGAGTAAGCCCCGCCCAACTTCCTGCGAAAGGCCCCGATATATCACGTACCCAGCTCTAGCTTGGTTGTCGATAAGCGCTCCATCTGAGAAGACAAATAAGTCTAAGGGGGACTGTGATATGTGCCACTTTGTGACTTCCTGTAGAACCATTCTTTTACCTACAGCGCCTATAGTTTGTAGGTATGACTTTTCGTTGGTGTCCCAGGGTGACGGGATGGTGTCGGTGGAAAGTTCGGGGGAGGTTCTCTGGCGGATCCAACACATACGAGGTGAATTCCAGCGTCGTCGGAGCGGATGCCTTGGGTCTGCTGCTGCAACTCGGACTGCGAGACGGTCGTGTATTCTCTCAAGCCATGCAAGTGCCGGGCCCCATCCAGTCTCTCGGAGAAGGGCGGCAGTAGGGGTTGTACAGTAGACAGGGAGGACTGCCCGGGCAGCATCGTTTATTCTACGTTGGATGCGTGTGATGATATTTTTTGGTGTTGACTTTGAGTATCATGTTTCAGCTCCATAGAAAAGCGTGGCCAATGCTACTCCTTGTAGAGCCTGTTTGAGAAGGTGTGGATTAATGCCTCGGGTGGTACAACTCCGAGCCACCTGGTGTGGTCGTTAGGCCTAATCTCAAGGCCATTAATGTAGAGACTTGGTTATAAAGAGCTCTATAGCTACAGATGAAATCTATGTACTGCTATTTAGGTCATGTGACCTGTCTAGGTTAGTTTACACGAGTAGGTGAAATGTTACCCCTAGACAATAGTGAAGTGGTCTAATTTAGCTGCAATAGTCACAATAGACTTTGAGATTCTCAACTAGAGGATTGCCTTTTTTTTTGTTCATTAACGTGCTAGGTATAGTGATTCCCGTTGCACTCCTACTGGAGCTTAAGCACTGGTAGGGCCGGGCCGGATCAGGTTAACTACTATTAAGTACATCTACCTCGTCCCACCTCAGACTTCACCCATGCGTTGAATCATGTCAAGCCCAACCGTCCAGAAAACCCCCTTTTGACGCGCCGAAGCGCAAATTCCTCCTCAGCCTCGGCTACCACGCGCCCGAGCCCGAGCCCGAGCCCTTGAAACCTTCGCGATCTATGACTTTTCCCTTCCATCCAATGCCAGCCTTGGCTCAATCTCGGCATCTCCTCATCTCGTCGAGGGGTCGCTTTCTTCATTGGAGGCCTTATCCAGACGCCCAGCAAGGCCTCCTCAGTTTATATTCCCTTTTTTCCTCCTTCATACAGCATCCCTTTGTCCTTTAGATAGCCTCGTCATCCTACAAACTTTGTCGAATGTCCACCCCTCCGGCCTTGCCCCGTCGCTGCCGTACCCCTAACCGTGGAGGTCGAAAACGCGACTGAGAGCTCAAGACCGAGGCACCGGTGCCCCAGTCTTTGTTGAATGCTC